AATGTTAAAGAATTCTTCTTAATAATTAGAGACTATGTAACATCCATTAAAAGTTGGAAATTATCTATCCTTTAGATCCATACTTTTGAAATGGCAACACTAAATTGAAAATAGTGGGAACGTGAAATTTTATGGAACCCTATATGACTCCACTATGTAATCATATAACACAAGTGATCACCACATTTATTCATTTATGAAATGGGTCCTCCACTATAAATCTACCATCAAATGCATTTATATCTTTCATTTAAAAAAAACCGTTCTTGTTGTACATGTTTTCAATTCACACACTTACTAAGACGTACACAAGGAATATTTTTGAAAATACCTTTTTTCAAAAATACCAAATGGAGGAAGAGAGACATACTAGGGAAATAAATATCATGTCGACCAAACTTGAGAATACCTAGCCATAATTTTATATTAAATGCTAAAAGCTTCACAGTACAGATGAGCATTGAATATACAAAAAGGAAATGGCAAATTAGCAACACTAAATTGAAAGTTTCCCCTCAAATAGTTTTAGTTGATATACAGCTTCAAGGTTTGCCTCAACGACGCAGCTACAAAGTTTAGATTGTTGACCAATTCAAACGTCCCCTATCCATTCTGTTTCCCTGCTTTTAACCCAATATTTCAACCCAATTCTCCACATATTCAAACCGTAATGGTAAATAAAAACTCTAGTCTTCTTTCATTTTCAACCATCGTTAACACAAAAGCACCATGAATTTCAGACAAAGAACATTTAAAGTCAATTCATGTCTTAACAGAGCCAGTTTGATCTAACAAAACCTGGCTTCATTGATTCAATGAACTTAAAGTCAATTCATATCTTCAAGACAAGTATCATCTAAAAATAGAGGTAAAAGTGTTTCGAAGATGATTTGATCTACAAATAGATAAGCTCATGACATTTTTCTGTCACACAGACCACAGAGAAACTCGTAGAGTCGTAGGGGCTTTACAAAATGTAAGATCACTAGCGAATCTGATTACCTAGGAGAACATAATGTGATACTCCGTATTAGAAGACTATAAGATCACCTATGTAAATGATTATCTGGACGATATGAGGTTATAGGAATAAAAAATTATATGGTACATGTGATTCAAATTGAAAATTATGTGATACTAATCTGTTCTTATAACACTTTAGAATACAATCTCACATGACCTTTCTCTTGTAGTCTTATAACTTCAACCAAACCAAAAGTACCTGACATTACATGCCTAATATTAGTATTACCAAAACAATTCTAGATAACTTGGACCAAACACCTCCTCAATGGAGAGCATGGAATGGAAAAATAACTGTTCAATTTAGAAAATAGTAGGATTATCATATTTGAACATCTGCAAAAATAATGGAGCATGAACAACAAAAAGGAGACAAAGCACTGAACATTACCAAACTGATAGAAGTGTGGCAGAAAACATATAAGAGAGTTCATACATATACATAAAGCCAAAGGAAACTAGCCTCCAATGTATTCACTGCCATAGATCATGTAGACAAGCTTGAGCTATACACAGATCTACTAGAGAACATTATGAAAGCTTTCAGACATAACTTTTTCCCTTTTTGACATTTTTCTTGTCCCCTTTTCTATTGTTTTCATGTCCGTCAGTCCGTGCAACATAAATCATAGGGGCTGCTGAAATTGTTGTATCTACTTGAATTTGTGAAAGGTCAAGTGTTCGGTAACATCCTTCCTAGCCAAATAAGTCAACAACTACTTATTTGACTTGTTCAACCTAACTTTGCTGGTAAGCACAATAAGACACCTTTGGGTAATTGGCTACCAAATGGAGCCTTATGCCACATAACCATCACAATGTTGGAAATCTGTAGGGGAATGAAATAGATGCGAAATTGGGGAAAAGGTATCATATTTGAACTTCAATAACTTCTTAAATAAAAAGATACAGTGTCATCCTGAATGACGTCAATCATACGACAAATAAGAGAGATTTGAACAATAATTAATACAGCTCTCTAACTCATTTTTACTGTATTTCTACCAGTTTTAAACAGGACAACAACTAATGCCATTAGCTAGCTATCATTGGAGCTACCACTTCCATTTGACCAGCTTCTAAACGTGCAAGGCATAAGGTTTATACCAACAATAAAGCTAAACCTTGACTTAGCTGATCGACCACCAACACTATTACTGCTTGAAGAAGGCATATCAACACTGCTCACTGTAGTCACAGCGGCCGAGTTGAACTCCACACCTTCATCTTGTGCTCCACTATCACTTGCACTCCCATCCAAACGCTCCCCAACTTCAACTCCATCCACATCCAAATTCACAGCCAGTGAAGGCCTCCTTGCTCTCAGGGAATCTGCAGACCCTCCAGTCACACGTTTACACTTCTTGACTTTAATTTTCACCAAGTTGGGACAGCCCCAAGCAAAAGCTGAAATCCCTTCATCACTGACCTCGCATCCCTTGATACAAAGCTTTTTAAGAGAGATGCTTTTCTGGGCTATACACGATATTTCAGTGTCTGAAATTGTCTCACTACCACAAAGGGCCAATCTTTCTAATTGCTGACAATTAGAAGCAATTGCGGACAGACTAGTGGCGGTCGGGTTTAAGCCAATGACAACTAGCTCTTTAAGGTATGCACAGTTCTCGGCAATGGCAAGCAATCCATCATCACCTATCCGGTTTGTCTTCCATCCATCGATGTGGACTTTCCTCAAAAGCTTACAGCTTTTAGCCACTGCTACAACTCCATCATCTGTGCATTCAGGAGTCTTAACCAAATGTAAGATCTCCAAATCCAAACATTTTGACACTGCTCTGAGCCCAAAATCGCTTACCTGAAGCCTCTCTAGATGCATCTCCACCAAACAATTTTGCCTGCCCGAAAGGGTCTCCAAGACAGTATCCCAATCCCCCACACATCGCAATAGCTTGAGAGTTCTGAGATTCTTTGACCCATTGATTAGAGGTCCAAAACATTGTCCATTGTAAAGCTCTTTCAAACAGACAGATTTCAGAGACAACGCAGCAGCTCCTGGGCCAATTGGCTCAGCGGCTAGGCCATCATTGATGCCACGGAGGCGTTTGACAGAAAGTTCCTCAAGGGAAGAGCAATTATCGAGCAGAGCATTCATACCTTTAGCGCCAAACATGCAAGACGCACAGGAAAACTTCGTCAAGCTCTTGCAATTCTGGGCGAAGGCCGCCATACCTACATCTGTGACGCCACGGCATCCGCGCAGCTTAAGCCGCGTGAGGCTACGGCAGCGGATGGAGATTTGGACCAAAGCTTCATCATCTATGCTCACGGATTTCCGGTCGCACCGAAGAGCCAGTTTGGTGACAGAATTGAATCGCGAGAAGATAACAGGAACATGCGAGAGGATATCGGATTTGGCATTGAGAGAGAGGCGGTGGCGGCTCGTTCCTTCCACGGCTAGCCACCTCCGGCAGACGAGAGAGCAGCTGTTCCGGTCACCGGCGCTTAGGAATTGAAAAATTAGAGCTAAACATTCATCAGGAATGTCATCGCTGTAGTCATATCTTCCAAAACTATCCTCGGAATTCGAAGCACCATCTTCAACCAAGCGCGCCGGATGCGATGGATTAGACATTGATCGGCGGTAGCTACCAAAAGCCTTGAGATAACAACCACGGCCACCGTTAGTAGACCCACCCGGCGACGATTGGTGGTGGATCGACGGAGACTGACCCATCTGGATCCCGTGATATGTAAAGAGACAACAAAATTGGGTAGCGCAAATGACGCGCCGCCCCTAGAAAAATGGGTGGTGAATCAGATTTGGGAGAAACTAGCGATGAATCTTATCTCCTGGAGAAGCATTGTGAAATGAAATGCATAGTGATTTAGATAGGAGAAAGATTTGATATTGGGGGTTGCTTTGTGCACATTATTACTTTATGTGACCATGACTAGATTGACCTTTTCAATTATTTGATTAAAAACAATTTAAATTGTGGTTTAATTCTAGATTAATCCATGTGGCAATGTGTGTGATGCTATTCAGGCAGGTTTGATTATTGCTCGTTATGTGTCTACCACCGATCAGCTCGCCGACATCTTCACCAAAGCACTTGGGAAGAGATAGTTCCAGTATCTCTTTGGCAAGTTGGGCATTCTTGATCCGAATGCTCCAACTTGAGGGGGTGTTAATGTGACACCGCTCCCGAACGTCTTTGAAAAGTCGATTTAAAATTCAAAGTTTATGTATTGGATTTCTGATTCCCAAACATTTGTAAAACGAGTAATGTTTTACGTAATTAATGACCGATTATTATACTGTTCGAACTCGTATATTAGTATCGGGCTTGCGAACACTCATTTTGGGCCCAACCTGCTAAAAATAGCAAGTATTCGAGAATGGCGTTCTAGATCCACTCGGGGGTGACCCACACGGCTAGTAGCCCAATAATATGTATGACAAATGTCAAATAAGTGATAGAATGATTAAAGGAGAATACAAATGCCTATAACCCCATCTTTGGCATTATTGAGCTAAATAATGGGAGTAGGATTTTCCTTCTATAATATCAATCAAGTAAATTATTGGGATGAGCCTACACATATTGGAGATCAATAATGGGATTTAGGAAGTTGACTTGTTCTAAATAAATTAGGATGAGTACAAAAAGACATCTTTGACAAAAGATAAAACAATAGGACCCATCTTCCTATTTTTGGAAGTATTGGTAGATGTTTTGGACCCCAAAATGATTGGGATCAATTGGGAACCACTCCACATGATATTAGTACCTGCAAGACAAATAAAAATGGGTTAGGAGACTTACCTTGGCCGGCCATTATGGAGAAGAGCTGCACATGACTTGATAAGAATCAAAGTTTGGGCCACCACTCTTATTTTCGCACAAATTGGTGTGCTGTTTGTCTCCTCTCATTATAGGAGCTATCCTCAACCAAATAACGTGTATGAGGTGTCCTTGGATAGCTCTTTAAGTGTAGTTTCATAATTGAGTGATCTTTGTTCGAGGAGAGAGAGCTTATCATCCAAAAATCGATCTGGAACGAGCAGTGGTCTGTGAATTCGAGCTGTGAGAGTGCTGAGACTGTTTGCTTCATATCTCGAGTTATACACATCCAAATAAGGCGTATAATATACCAAAAGAAAGCTCTCAAGACGAGGAATCCTCGAAGGTCTGGTTTGCATCAATCGGATTAGTGGAAGGCCTCCAAATCGACCGAGCAAAACACGACCTCGCAGAATACGTTTTTGTATTCAAAGTAAGTTTGAATCCAAAACCTTCCTCTCTAGTGTCTAAATCATATAAATGATTGAAGAACTATTATACACTGATTGAAGTGTATAAAATGTTATTATTATGTGACTTTAATTGTTGGAAAGGTTAGATACTAACCTAGAGCAAATCTTGGAAAAACTAGGAAACGAGTTAACCGGGAAACACCCGTTCTAGGGGCTGTTTCCGTATCAACGATTAAGGGTTGAACTAGCACTTTGAGGAGGCTGTTTAACACTCATATTTGAGCAAGGAATCAGTTCCAAATCCACCTTGACCAAAGCTTTGACCATTGGACCAAGAAGGGAAAGTTTAAAGCTCATTTGAGGTGAGGATTGACATCTAATTGCTTACAACTTGTAGGTTAAGCATGAGATTACCTAAATGCTTAAATCATGATTTTTCATGGATTATGATGATTATATTTTGATGAAATATTGATATAGTTGCCAAAGAATGAAATTTGAAATGATTTGAGAAGGTATGAATAATATGAGATTAAATGAGTATAAAAGAACCATTTTGTGAAAATGGGTATTTTACTCATGTATGAATTATGTGGATACATAAATGAATATTTGTGTATTGAAATTGAATGCTTAAGTTGCTGCTACATAATTATAAATATGTAGAGAATTACAATAATGAGGATAATGGTATGATACCAATAATCTTAATAGTATTGGAATACTAGTTAGTGATTATTGGGACTTGTGAATTAAATTGATCCTAGGGATTGGATTGTATGAAAGATACTTGAATATAGTTCAAGTGTACATAATAACCTAGTATGGAACTAAGGTTAAGTTATGGGAAGTCTTTAAGAATGACCCATGGTAGTATAATGATATGTCAATTCTAGGTATAGGGTTGCTTGAGAATTGGACCTTAATGCATGGTGATGTGATAGAGCCGAGCTCTAGAATGCATGTAAGGTGTAGACTTGGAGTCTATGTATTGTATAGCTAGAGCCGAGCTCTAGGGCTTGCGTGGTGATGTGATAGAGCCGAGCTCTAGAACGCAAGGTAAGGAAATTGACCCGAGGTATATGGATTGTATGGTGATGTGGTAGAGCCGAGCTCTAGAATACAATGTCATATACTAGGGTTGGACTCTAGGAGTTGTCGTGGCTTATAGTCACGGGGTTGGGAATGGTGATTTCCAAATGAACATGGGCCCACGGGCCGACTACTTGACTTTTATATAAAGTAAGTATAATTTTTAAACGGGGTAACTCAGGGTTACAATCATAATGTACTATCACCCTATTTGAGGGTCTTGTGTTTGAAATACTTGTTGTATATCTATTAGATGCCTGCCACACCAGTACTTTATAGCCGTATAGAGTACTGACCCCTTCGGGGGCGTCCCACCACCATTTCAGGTTGAGGCTAGAGCTTGCATCCTGTGCTCGTTGATCGGGCGATTCCTCGGAGAGAAGACTTGGTTCGTGCTTCCTCCGTTCTATTTGAAACAATAGTAAATTTGCTCATGGATATTTTATTATAGAGCCTGCGTGCTCATGAATAGCCCTGTGTGGCTCTTTTGTTTTAAATAATGTTTTCCGCTGCGTTATGAATTACTTATTATGTTTGTTTATGGATGTATATGTGTGAATGATATTCAAGACGCCTTGTATAATAGGAATGTGTTGGACTGCGGTTGACTATTCATATTGTACGGCGGGTTGTTGACGTGTCCGGATAGGTCCGGGGCGTGACAATTAAGTTGGTATCAGAGCCTTAGTCCATAAACTTCATAATGAAGTCTCAAATTCTCTTTTCAAAATGATTTCGAAAACCATGAGCATAAACATTTTGTACTTGAAGAGCTTTTGGTACTCGAGTTGCAAGGTCTCTAATTGTTAAGATGGTACCCTTAGCAATTGGTATGGCAGCAATTTGAGCCAAGTAGTGTCTTGAGTACCTATCCGTCAATTGACATTTGATACGAGTCTAACGACTCTTTCCAAATTTTCTTTCAGAAATGGACCGTGGTGGCAGGATTACTAGGAGAAACCCGACTGGCCGTGTACCAGTGGAGACTGGACTGGGCAGTCGAAGGACCTCTAGAGCATCTGGAGGAGCTGGCCGTGGAGGCCGATCACAGACCGTGAGCGACGGTCATGTGAGCACTGAAAACGAGAGCTACTGGTCCTATGAGGACTCGACCTATCGGCCGGAAACAGAGCCGGTTGAAACCCCTTATGAAGGGGATGACGATGATGCAAGTGATGAGGAGGACAACGGCTCCTTAGCGCGGATTGAGGCATTACTCCAACAATATCACCGTGAGCGTGAAGAGAGGAGGGAACGCCGAAGGCGCCGGGCTGGGCAACCTTCGGGCATGGCTTCACGAGGAGGAAGTCATGGTGTATCTAGAGTTCATGTGGAACCACGTGGAGGCCAAAATGATGGAGGTCCAACCATAAGGATCTCCAAATACATCAAAGAAGCAAGAGATTTGGGGTGCAAACCCTTTGATGGAGCAGGGGACATTTCAGTGGCAGCACAATGGATCAAGAGGCTAAATGAAGCAGCCCTTGACATGCAAATCGCGCCGAATCTCAAACTGAGAATTGCGGTAAGATTGCTCGAGGGGATGGCATCCAAGTGGTGGGATGGAACCAAGAACAAGTACGGTGAGACCGTCGTTTGGGAGGACTTCCAACGGGAGTTCTTTGCCCAATACTATTCTGATTTCGAGGTGAATAAGAAGGTGAGGGAATACACCCTCCTAACCCAAGGGGGTAACATGTCAGTGAAGGAGCTGGAGTACAAGTTCCGGGATCTCGCCGACTACATACCGGAGTATGCTTGTGACGAGAACCGCATGGTAAACCACTTTTGGGACGCTCTTGACTTGGAGATACGTGATAGGGCAACGCAATTGCCTAATATGACTTTCGCCCAAGTGGTTGACCAAGCGTTGAAAGGGGAGAAACAGTGGGAGGAACGGAAGAAGAGAGACGCCGAGGAGGCGAAAAAGAGAAAATGGGAGAGTCATGGCTCCCAAGGTTCCAACAAAAAGGGGAACCATGGAGGAGGATCTTTCCGGGCACCACCGCCACCGTCTAGGGGGAACCAAGGCTCGAGTGGGCAAGGCTCGAGGTCACAAACCTCGGTGGTGACTCGTTGCAACAATTGCAAGAAGAACCACTCCGGTAAATGTCGCGACCCCCCTAGATGCTTTCAATGTGGGGATGCCGGGCATTTGAAGGCACATTGCCCACAACTGGGCGGGGCAAGGACATCGGGACCAAGTAATGGCCCGACGGGTACACGGAATCAACCCGGGGCTTCTCAAGCAAGCCGGGGACATGGGGGAGCAAGCACGAGTAACGCGCCATCCGTGAACCAAGGAAGGACCCAGGCTAGGGTCTACGCAATGACGGAGGCGGATGCTCAAGCTAACCCGGATTCCGTTGCAGGTATTACCTTTTGTATACTTATGTTTTACCCTTGATTATTCCATAAATTGAGGTTGCTAGTCGTTGGGATCATTGCACGAAGCTTTGGGGTCAAACGGAGCGAAATCGGGCGAAAGACGGCTGATTTCCGCCAACGCACACCAGGCTGGACCATACGCACGGCCGTGCGTTGTCCGTGCGTTGGTCCGTGCGTTGGTGGCAGTAGCAACCCGGGAAGAAATTGCTATACGCACGGCCGTGCGTTGTCCGTGCGTTGGTCCGTGCGTTGGTGGCAGTAGCAACCGGGAAGAAATTGCTATACGCACGGACGTGCGTTGTCCGTGCGTTGGTCCGTGCGTTGGTGGCAGTAGCTCCGTTTTGAGGTTTTAAGACACGCACGCCGTGCGTACCTCCTAGGCACGCCGTGCGTACCTCCTGGGCAGCCCAAAGTCGACTTTTTCGCGCCGTATTGAAACGTTAAGACCTTTTCTTGATCCCTAACATGCGTGTGAACATTGTAACCTTCTATAAATGAGTAGGGAGGGTAGGAAAAATGTCTTACATGGTTCATGAATGTAGGGACGCTAAAGATTAATGGGAAGGATGCGCGAATCCTTATCGATACCGGGGCGCAACGTTCATTTGTGAATGAAGCGTTCGCCAAGAGGTTGGGGGTGCAATCCGCACCATTGATGCAAACCTTAGTGGTATCAACACCACTAGGAGATGACGTGGAAAGAACTTGTTATTATCCATCTTGTGGGGTGGAGGTTAATGGTCAAACCTTGACGTGTGACTTCGTACCGCTGGGCATGATTGAATTCGATGCAATCCTAGGGATGGATTGGCTAGAAAGGAACCATGCTAGGGTAGATTGCTACACGAAGGTTCTTGAACTCGAAGGCAATGATGGGGAGACCCTACGCTTCGAGGGCGATCGAGGGAGATCAAATAGCTGTATCATATCCGCCGTGAGAGCGATAAGTATGATGAGAAAGGGATGTCACGCATATCTAGCATACGTGGTTGACAAAACCAAAGAGGAAACGAACATCGATGATGTGAGGGTGGTTTGTAAGTATCCGGATGTCTTCCCTAAAGACCTACCGGGGCTGCCACCTGACAGGGAGATTGAATTTGTGATCGAGGTCGAGCCTGGTACCAAACCAATCTCCATACCGCCATACCGTATGGCACCCGCTGAACTTAACGAGTTGAAAACCCAATTGCAAGAGCTTTTGGATAACGGTTTCATTAGACCAAGCCACTCCCCGTGGGGAGCACCAGTTCTTTTTGTGAAAAAGAAAGATGGGACACTTCGAATGTGTATTGACTATCGTCAACTGAACAAGGTCACAATCAAGAATAGGTATCCTTTGCCTAGAATTGATGACTTGTTTGACCAACTACGAGGGGCAACCGTGTTTTCGAAGATTGACTTGAGGTCGGGGTACCATCAATTGAAGATTAAGGAAGATGACATACCAAAGAGTGCTTTCCGCACAAGGTATGGGCATTTTGAATTCCTTGTTATGTCGTTTGGGCTAACAAACGCCCCGGCGGCATTCATGGACTTGATGAACCGAGTATTTCATAAATACTTGGACCGATTCGTGATTGTGTTCATAGATGACATCTTGATTTACTCAAAGAGTGAAGAAGAGCATGAAGAGCACTTGATACTTGTTCTTGAGACACTACGGGAGAAGCAACTTTATGCCAAATTTTCTAAATGTGAATTTTGGCTAAAGGAAATCGGCTTCCTCGGGCACGTGGTTTCGGGATCGGGGATTGCTGTTGATAACAAGAAGATAGAAGCCATTACTGAATGGGAGAGGCCAAAGAACGTCAAGGAAATTCGTAGTTTCCTTGGATTGGCAGGCTACTATACAAAGTTCGTGGAGAAGTTCTCTGTTTTGGCATCGCCATTGACGAAGCTCACTCGTAAAGGAGCTAAGTTTGTATGGGATGACAAATGTGAGAAAGGATTCATGGAATTAAAGAAGAGATTGACTGAGGCGCCGGTACTTGCATTACCCAAACAAGGTGTGGGGTACGATGTCTATAGCGATGCGAGCATCCAAGGGCTTGGATGTGTACTAATGCAGAATGGGAGGGTAATCGCCTATGCTTCACGACAATTGAAGAAGCATGAGGTGAATTATCCTACTCATGATTTGGAGCTGGGGGCAGTGGTGTTTGCACTGAAGATATGGAGACATTATCTCTATGGGGAGACATGTCACATATACACTGATCACAAGAGCTTGAAGTATGTGTTTACTCAGAAAGAGCTAAACATGAGACAGAGACGGTGGATGGAGCTGATAAAAGACTACCATCTAGTGATAGAGTATCACCCAGGCAAGGCAAACGTGGTGGCAGATGCTTTGAGCCGGAAGAGCTCGTCTGGGGCATTGATAGCTAATTTGAGGGCATTAAGAGCCCAACTGGAGGTAACCAGCGATGGTGCCTTATTGGCACGATTTGAGGTGAGACCTACTTTACTTGATGAGATCAAGAAGGGTCAGGAAGCCGACGAAGAACTTATGAAGGTCCGGGAACGCATGCAAGCGGGGCCGGTGGAGGATTTCAGGGAAAGAGATGATGGTCTCTTATTATTTCGTGACCGAGTGTGTGTACCGGCAGATGACGAGCTCCGAAAATCCATCTTAGAGGAAGCTCATTCATCGGCTTATGCCATGCACCCGGGGGGCACGAAGATGTACCGTGACCTGAAGGAGAGTTACTGGTGGTCAGGTATGAAGAGAGAAATAGCCGAATACATCAGTCGATGCCTTACTTGTCAACAAGTTAAGGCAGAACATCAGCATCCAGCAGGCTTGTTACAACCACTTTCCATTCCTGAATGGAAGTGGGAACATGTGACAATGGATTTCGTGGTAGGTTTACCACGGACAATTCGGAACTATGATGCAGTTTGGGTTGTTGTGGATAGGCTCACGAAGAGTGCACACTTCTTGCCTATCAACACTACCTACCCACTTGAGAGGTTAGCCAAATTGTATACGGATGAGATCGTGAGGATGCATGGGGTCCCAGTGACCATTGTATCTGATAGAGACCCACGATTCACATCACGTTTTTGGCCGAAATTTCAGGAGTCTATGGGAACGAGGCTGAAGTTCAGTACTGCTTTCCACCCACAGACGGATGGGCAGTCTGAAAGAGTCATACAGATCTTAGAAGACATGCTGACGGCTTGTGCATTGGAGTTTCAAGGAAGTTGGGACAACCACTTAGCACTCGTGGAGTTTGCCTATAACAACAGTTATCAGGCAAGCATCGGCATGCCTCCATATGAGGCATTGTATGGGAGGAGGTGCCGTACACCGTTATGCTGGGATGAGGTTGGCATGGCCAAACTCGAGGGTACTGAGTTGGTTGAGGTCACCAAGTCAAAGGTGAAGTTGATTCGAGAGAGACTCAAGGCGGCTCAGGATAGGCAAAAGAGTTATGCAGATAAGCGCCGAAGGACCTTAGAGTTTAAGGTTGACGACGAGGTATTCCTGAAAGTTTCTCCTTGGAAAGGAATCATTCGATTCCAAACCCGAGGAAAGCTTAACCCACGATATATAGGCCCATTCAGAATTATAGAGAGGGTTGGGGCCGTAGCATATCGTCTACAGTTGACTCCTGAGTTGGAGAAGATTCATAATGTATTTCACGTGTCCATGCTTAAGAAGTATGTGCATGATCCTTCTCATGTGTTGGAGAAGCCGCCCGTGGAGGTACGTGAAGATTTGAACTATGCCGTGCAACCGGTAAGAGTTATTGACAGAAAAGTGAAGAAACTGAGGAGTAAAGAAGTTCCAATGGTTAAAGTCCTTTAGCAGAGTGACCGGGTCGAAGAAGAGACTTGGGAAACAGAAACTTTGATGAGGAAGCAGTATGCATTCCTATTTGAGTAGAGCTGTGAATTTCGGGGACAAAATTCCTGTTAAGGGGGGGTGAACTTGTGACACCGCTCCCGAACGTCTTTGAAAAGTCGATTTAAAATTCAAAGTTTATGTATTGGATTTCTGATTCCCAAACATTTGTAAAACGAGTAATGTTTTACGTAATTAATGACCGATTATTATACTGTTCGAACTCGTATATTAGTATCGGGCTTGCGAACACTCATTTTGGGCCCAACCTGCTAAAAATAGCAAGTATTCGAGAATGGCGTTCTAGATCCACTCGGGGGTGACCCACACGGCTAGTAGCCCAATAATATGTATGACAAATGTCAAATAAGTGATAGAATGATTAAAGGAGAATACAAATGCCTATAACCCCATCTTTGGCATTATTGAGCTAAATAATGGGAGTAGGATTTTCCTTCTATAATATCAATCAAGTAAATTATTGGGATGAGCCTACACATATTGGAGATCAATAATGGGATTTAGGAAGTTGACTTGTTCTAAATAAATTAGGATGAGTACAAAAAGACATCTTTGACAAAAGATAAAACAATAGGACCCATCTTCCTATTTTTGGAAGTATTGGTAGATGTTTTGGACCCCAAAATGATTGGGATCAATTGGGAACCACTCCACATGATATTAGTACCTGCAAGACAAATAAAAATGGGTTAGGAGACTTACCTTGGCCGGCCATTATGGAGAAGAGCTGCACATGACTTGATAAGAATCAAAGTTTGGGCCACCACTCTTATTTTCGCACAAATTGGTGTGCTGTTTGTCTCCTCTCATTATAGGAGCTATCCTCAACCAAATAACGTGTATGAGGTGTCCTTGGATAGCTCTTTAAGTGTAGTTTCATAATTGAGTGGTCTTTGTTCGAGGAGAGAGAGCTTATCATCCAAAAATCGATCTGGAACGAGCAGTGGTCTGTGAATTCGAGCTGTGAGAGTGCTGAGACTGTTTGCTTCATATCTCGAGTTATACACATCCAAATAAGGCGTATAATATACCAAAAGAAAGCTCTCAAGATGAGGAATCCTCGAAGGTCTGGTTTGCATCAATCGGATTAGTGGAAGGCCTCCAAATCGACCGAGCAAAACACGACCTCGCAGAATACGTTTTTGTATTCAAAGTAAGTTTGAATCCAAAACCTTCCTCTCTAGTGTCTAAATCATATAAATGATTGAAGAACTATTATACACTGATTGAAGTGTATAAAATGTTATTATTATGTGACTTTAATTGTTGGAAAGGTTAGATACTAACCTAGAGCAAATCTTGGAAAAACTAGGAAACGAGTTAACCGGGAAACACCCGTTCTAGGGGCTGTTTCCGTATCAACGATTAAGGGTTGAACTAGCACTTTGAGGAGGCTGTTTAACACTCATATTTGAGCAAGGAATCAGTTCCAAATCCACCTTGACCAAAGCTTTGACCATTGGACCAAGAAGGGAAAGTTTAAAGCTCATTTGAGGTGAGGATTGACATCTAATTGCTTACAACTTGTAGGTTAAGCATGAGATTACCTAAATGCTTAAATCATGATTTTTCATGGATTATGATGATTATATTTTGATGAAATATTGATATAGTTGCCAAAGAATGAAATTTGAAATGATTTGAGAAGGTATGAATAATATGAGATTAAATGAGTATAAAAGAACCATTTTGTGAAAATGGGTATTTTACTCATGTATGAATTATGTGGATACATAAATGAATATTTGTGTATTGAAATTGAATGCTTAAGTTGCTGCTACATAATTATAAATATGTAGAGAATTACAATAATGAGGATAATGGTATGATACCAATAATCTTAATAGTATTGGAATACTAGTTAGTGATTATTGGGACTTGTGAATTAAATTGATCCTAGGGATTGGATTGTATGAAAGATACTTGAATATAGTTCAAGTGTACATAATAACCTAGTATGGAACTAAGGTTAAGTTATGGGAAGTCTTTAAGAATGACCCATGGTAGTATAATGATATGTCAATTCTAGGTATAGGGTTGCTTGAGAATTGGACCTTAATGCATGGTGATGTGATAGAGCCGAGCTCTAGAATGCATGTAAGGTGTAGACTTGGAGTCTATGTATTGTATAGCTAGAGCCGAGCTCTAGGGCTTGCGTGGTGATGTGATAGAGCCGAGCTCTAGAACGCAAGGTAAGGAAATTGACCCGAGGTATATGGATTGTATGGTGATGTGGTAGAGCCGAGCTCTAGAATACAATGTCATATACTAGGGTTGGACTCTAGGAGTTGTCGTGGCTTATAGTCACGGGGTTGGGAATGGTGATTTCCAAATGAACATGGGCCCACGGGCCGACTACTTGACTTTTATATAAAGTAAGTATAATTTTTAAACGGGGTAACTCAGGGTTACAATCATAATGTACTATCACCCTATTTGAGGGTCTTGTGTTTGAAATACTTGTTGTATATCTATTAGATGCCTGCCACACCAGTACTTTATAGCCGTATAGAGTACTGACCCCTTCGGGGGCGTCCCACCACCATTTCAGGTTGAGGCTAG